CCCAACTACCAGTCATCTCATTTGCATACAGAAAGACACTCTTATGGGCCTCACCACTCAAAAGATTTCAGAAGGTCTCTCTGTGCCAGGCCCGCAAGAATCTAGTAGGTTTAGCATTTTTAAAAATACTAAGCTGGATATTAACAACACAGAAAATATTTCCTGCAAGTGCAATGATGAGCTTGACTATATAACAGCTTTAAGCATATTGTTATGGAATCTACCTAACAACTTCATGAGGTAGACACCATTATCATCCTCATTTGAGAAATGAAAAGCTTATAGCCTGGAGAGGTTACAGAGTAAAATTAAAGTCACATAACTAGTATGTGTTGATCCAAGTCAGAAATCCTGCTTGTGATCTTTAACTCTATGCAATTCTGCCATAGAGGGGATATGCTTAGATAGATGAATGAAATAAAAGTATAAGTCAAAGAACTCCAAAGAAGACTTCCACTTCTACCAACATCTTAGGCAATATTCTCTGAATATCACTATATCATACTCCATTGCTCCACAAAACACCACCACGAAGTTTAGCAGTTTAAAACAGCAATGACTGATTATTTGTCATCATTGCATGGCGTTGCTGGGGTCATGAGGGCACATCATCTGCTCCACATGGTATTGTCTGAGCTCACCTTGTGGCAGCATTCACCTGAACCTCAGTTGAGTTGGAAACTTTTATGACGGTGACACCCTTTTCCCACAAGGCTTAGATGTAAGTTTAATCTAAATGCCTCAGGTGGTGGGCCGGGCTTCCAAGAAGGAAAAGCAGAAGCTGTGGGCCTCTTCCCACACAGGCCTCGGTCTGGCACACCGTCCACTCTGCAGTATCCCACTAATCAAAGCAAGTCACCACACAGCCCAGATCCAAGGGAAGCAGAAGGACAAGTCCACTCTGGGTGGGACAAGCAGCATCTATGTGCGTGTAGGGACAGAGCAAACTGTTAGCATTATCGCTGAGCTTTGGCCCTAAAAGGTGAAGTTGCAGAACTGGAGACCCTTTTGTTAAGCTGGGCTTTTCAGACGGACCTGCAATGTCCTCTGGCTTCCCAAAGACGCAGGCACAAGTCCTTTCTGAAGAAAAGCACCCTTCAGTGTCCCAGAAAGATTCTCATTAAAGTTAACTAAATACGAGCTTACAGTTTAAACAAATCACCAAAAGCCAAATAAATAAGCCACCATGGTGGAAAAAAGCAGTGAAAATATCAAACAATGCAATCAGATCCCCTAAGAATTTTAGACTTTAAATTTACCATATATAGGATATAAAATAACTGTGTATAAAATATACTTTTAAACATTTTGCTTTATGAACTAACCACCAAAATGACCCAGCCAATGTGAAAATGGAAAAATTTTAGAAATTACAAATATACCTGGGCATGGTGATTACACTTATCATTCTGGGAGGCTGAGGCAGGAGGACTGCAAGTTTGAGGGCAGTTTGAGCAATTTAGTAACTCAGCAAAACCCGTCTCAAAATAATAAATAAATAAATAAATAAATAAATACCTGTATACATACACCATTGAGGATATAGCTCAATGCAAAGGCCCTGGGTTCAAACGTCACTACATTAATTAATACACGATCAAGTCAATAAAACAAAAGACAAGGAGATAAACTTGGAAGATTAAAAGGCACAGAGAATGGAATGACAAAGTAGCACTGCATCCACTAACAGAGATCTAGAAGAGGAAAAAAACAAGAAATTATAGAGGTAATAGTTCACAACTTGGCAGAATTTATTAGCAATCTAAACATCAGATACAAGAAGCAGAGTTTATGTGAAGTAGAAAACATAAAAAGAAACCCATATCCAGACACAATGAAATGAAACTGAACACCAAAGACAAAAGATCTTAAAAGTAATCAGGCAGAAAATACATATCAGCCAGACAGACTTATGTTGATTTCTCAATAATAACCAAAGGCATCAATTGACAGGAAAACGTGTCTTCAAAGTAATGGCAGAAAATAACTACCAGGCTAAAATTGTGTTAGTTACAACTACTTCTCAAGCATGAGGACAAAAATGAAAAATACTTTCAGATGAGTTGAGAGTTCACCTCTGGGAAATTTTCATCAAAGAACTGTTTTCAGGGGGAGAAAAGTGACCCCATGCCCATAAAAACTTTCAGTATATGAGAGATATGTGTTTTCTTACCCAAATACAATGTATCTGTCACACTCCTACTGGAAATGCACTCTTAGTGGCAGTGCAGTAAAAGCATTATCATTCGAATGAGGATAGCCTGGCTAGGACTTTGTACCTTGATATCAGTCAGTCACAGGATATGGGCTGGTCTTAGAAGGAAGCATACCTGTGTCAGCCAGCTTCTTGTGATTAAGATGACCCCCCAAAGAGACTTAAAACTGAGAACCATCTTCTGGAAGTACTCCCAGAAGCTGTGGAACCAGTCGTTCCTTCCCCAAAGGGGGCTGGGCAGTGCAGAATAGCAGCTACCACCAATGCCCTTCACAATTCCCATTTATTATTGATTGAAAATTTAATAAATGCAGGAAGACACAGAAAAATTATAAGAATTAATGAGAACTAGTGATAACAATTGCTATTATTCACAGAAGATATATTTCACTTTAAAAAAACGAAGTATGGATAAATTACTAGAATGAATAAAAAGTGATCAAGAAAGTGGCTAGAAATAAGAGTATAAGAGTTGACTGCATTTCTACACACTAGCTGAAAGAGAACTGTTGAAGAAACTCTTGCAAGTGTACACTAGAAGACACGTACAAAGACATGCATGGCTTCCATCTGTATAATGGCAACACTGTGGAAATACCGAGAATGTCTAACGGTGCAAAACAGATGGGTTACTGCACATACACCCATGAGGTTGCATGAAGCAGTGCAAATGAATAAATTACACATTGACACACAACATAGGTAAACCTGAAACGTATGGTTTTAAGCAAAAAAAGGTAAATCACAGAAGACTACGTAGAGCACAATATTTTTAAATGAATATAATCAAACTTGAAATATAAATTATTTCAATAAATATGCATGTATGATAAAATACTTTTTTTAAATCAAGGAACACATAAAGAAAAATTCATCATAATAATCCTTTTAGGTAATGGAGGAGAATAAAATCAGAGAACATACATGTCACCTCAGTGTGGAGAGTTCTTTCACTCTGGGTATGTGTCCGATAATTACTATCTATAAATTATTGCTATATTTAAAATACCCCTTTGTCTTTATCAGTACATGTTTGCAGTACATAATGCTTACATTCATTGTGGTGATTTGGCACGTGTTGATAACACATCTTAATTGTTTTGATACCCCTTTCTCTCCTTCCGTCTATACCTTTATCCCCTTCCCACTTGCAAAAGATCTATTTTCCTGTTTCTTATTATCTATCTTTTATTTTGCTCTTTACTTTATATAAATACTTTAGGTTTCTCATATAAGAAAAATCATGTGATATTTAAGCTTTTGTATCTGGTTTATTTCACTTAACATTGTGGTTTCAAGGTACACGCATTTTCCTATAAATGACTTAAATTTAGCTTTCTTTACATCAGATAATACTCTAGTGTGCAAATACTACATTTTCTTTACCCATTCCCCTGTTGATGGGACATACATGGAGGCTTTTAATTGCTACATAATTATCAATACAAGGCTAGCTCTTTGGGAATACTGTGGTGTTGCAAGATGAATGTTTAATAAATGAGGATCCGTTTGTTTTGCCTGCCTAATGATATCCATCCACTTTTCTTCAAGAGAGCACGCCTGATTTTCATTTAGAAAATTATCCCATGAGTCATTTCGATGACTTTTTCTCCCACTAGCTCCAGGGATGAGCAGCTGACCCAGTTCTGGAAAACCATGACATTCCTTTCTAGTTGGCTATGGTGATGGTTCAGGGTCAGGCACTGAATGCGTGCAAGAACAAAAAGACACAGTCCTAGGGGTTTTTTCTAGGAAAGAAGAGTCATTTCTCCTGTTGGGATGGCTGAATGTAGAGGGTCAAAATCTGGAGCTAATCATCTCACCGCCATGAAGGGAAAGACTGCCTGAGAATGGAGCTAAGAGCACAACCAACAGAGGAGATGAACTGGGACTGGTAGTATGGCGGGGGGCACTCAGACATGAGACTCAAAACTTTTCCTCTATTTCAAACTCACTGTAGAGCTCTGGAAAAATTATTTAATCTCCCAGGGCCCAAGTTTACTCATCAGTAAGGTAGAAAATAATAACAGGTTGTTATATGCTGTCAAAATTCAATGGAATAGCACAGTGCTTCTTGTGCAAAATTACTCAATAAATATTATCATTCTTTCTGCAAGTATTTTATATACCTCCTTCCCTATCTTCTGCTCTCTATCAACTGCTGTACTTTCCCCATCAAAAATGATATATTCCAGTTCCACTGAAAGAAAAAGAGAGGGAGAAAAGGGAGTGACTGGGATTACTGATCTAGCCTCTAAGACAAATAAACCAAAACAACACAAGGAAAAGTAGTTTCTCGGTAAGGAAGATGCTACCATGACTGCTTAACAGATGCCATCCCTGCGGGCTTGCTTTGACACTGTTAGCAAAGCTTCACTTAGGCATAATCAGACTGTGCTGACCTCAGAGAACTCATCTAGGATTCACAAAGACAGCTCATGGCCCCGGAAGTCACAAGGATACTAAAGCTTATCACATGTCTGATGCAACTGGACACATTCAAAATCACTCAAATCTTAATATGTTATGAAGATGCCAGAACTTGAGAACAGCAATGTCACATGGATGTCTCTATGCCTTAAAAGGAGACAAAAATTTCGAGAATCTAAAAAGCACAGAATGTTTAAATTGAGGAGACCTAAGAATTCTTTCCTTATAAACCAGCATCCAAAGCAGTTAACTTTCCCAAGGTCCTTTATCTACTTTAAAACACACACCTCTTTTTAATTACTTTTCTTTACTTTGAAAAAAGAAGAAATTTGAACTCAGCCAAAAAGACTTTTACCTCACTTGCCAACTCCAAACAGTTGCACTTGATTGAGAAAGATTCCCAGTCTGCTCCTAGAAGAAAACAGTGCAATAATCCATTAGCAAAGTCTGTCATGATCAATAGTCCAGAGGGTGAGGCCTGACTGCTACATGTTTGTAGGTGGATGCAGCAGGGATAGGAGTAGGAAGGTAAAATTTTAGGTTATCTGTTGTACTCTCTGTTCTTTTTATATAGTTCCTGAAATTTATGTATTCCATTGTATATTTCTTTTACATGATGAACATTGTGGTTAGCATGGTTTCAGACCATTGTTCTATGTTACTTCCTATCCTACAGTAGATAAGATAAATTGCAACTTCAGGTCTTGGGCAGTTCAGCTTTGCCTGTCTTTTATGGAGAATAATTTCCTGGTCAAAGATATACTTCCCAGTGCATGAGACCAGTGGTGCTGTAGAAACCATTACTACATTTTTTAAATTAAAAATATCACAGGCTTTGGAACATAGAAGAGGCTTGCCAGATCACCTATGAAGATCTGACTTTATACCCAAGGAAACTGAGGCTCAGAGGAGGGAAATGGCTTGTCAGAAGTTATAGAAGGAAATTCAGGCCACCAGTCTTCCCACAACACCTCACTCACTTGCTTTATTCTTTCTTCAACATTAGCTCCTTGGCTATGGTAATCAAACCTCCCACCCAAGAATCTTCAAAAAACTACAAAGGAATCATGGCCATGTGGCAGACAGTGATCTTAGCACAGAACAGGTGACATAAAAACAAAGCAAAAATGACTAGTTTATATCTCAAAGGCAAGTGACAGAGAGGGACAGGATTTGAAATGGTAGTTGGTCTGCATTTTCTAATCTTTTCAAAAGAGCATTTGATTTCCTAGTCATATCAGATATCTTTTCCTAAGGCCCCAAATGTAACATTTTTCCATTATTTGTAATTTTTGTGCAAGATAATTTATGAATATATTGATAGATTCACATTGCGATAGTTTTGATAATTTTGCATTTGCACTGAACCTCTACTATATCCCATGTATGTTCTTAGGTGCCAATAAGACAGACGATAAAGCACAGTCCCAGCTTTGCAAATTTCACAGTCTGCTTGGAGAGACAAAAAATAACGTATGGCGCAATATAAATGGAATTATAAATGTGTATGGAACAGAAGAAAAGAGATTAACTTCGGAAGACAGCAGGAAATTTTTTACAGAAACATCTGAGCCCAGCTTAAAGGGATAAAGAGTAGTTCATTATTAGATTTTGTGCACTTTTCTATTCAATAAACTTAATAGCATACCCAAGGCATGCCAATCACCATGAGAGGCACCGGAAGTTGGGAGACACGAAATATAGGTTCCTAACCTCTCAGAGCTCTGACACCATACAAGAATATCTCATATAAACAACGAAAAACAATTACATTACAATACATTGAAAGCAACAGTCTAGGAGCAACCAAGGACAGCCATAGGAAAGGCTGTGATGAGGAGAGATCTGAGCTGTAATGCTCCTTTGCAGAAAGGGTTTGGGGTCATCTCATGATGGCACTGCAATGTCAATGGCAAAGTGACTCCTTTTAAGAAAATCAAAGAGAAGATAAACTATGAATAAGTGACTAGAAACCAGGTATCAATGCCCATTTGACAAAATTTTTAAGGAACTGCATTGCACTGGGCACCATGCTACTTTCAAGAGATGCAAAAGAGAGAAACACCCACCAGCCATAAAATGAAGGAGTTGATTAAACTGATGGCCCACTCAGTCTTTCTGGGTTCAAATTTTTGTTTCCCAGCCCACTGGCTAGACAATCTTGGACAACATGTTCCATTTCTTTGTACTTCATTGACTTCAGTTACAAAAAGTACAGGATTTATAACTCTTATTATTGTTATATTAAAAAAATAAAGCAGGCCAAGTGCTTAACCTGATCCTTGGCTTATGCCATGCGCACAATAAAAATGTCATCAAGGATGAAGATGCTGATGATTGTGCTTGCAGGTCCTTGGGAGGTCAGAAGTCACTCAAGCAGTGACATGTGAATTAAGAACCAAATGAAATTAGTCAGAAAAACAGGAGGTCAACGTGCAGGTTAGATTTAACCACATTTGTTTCTTCTATCACAGTTTTATTTGCTTAAGCATTTTAGAGTATTACAAGATAAGTCACAGACACAATTTTATTCTTAATATACTTACACCTGCATGCTTTAAAAATATGGATTTTTTTTTTAACAAGGCTCACCTTGTTCCTTTTCTTCTGCCATGGTGATCACAGGAGGATATGTGGAGATGGAATCTCACCAGCCTGGGCTCCTGTGATAAGGAGTCACTGAGATGATTTGTTTTTACAACACACTTTGGTGCATTTTTACTAAAGCAGTGACGTGCTACTGGGAACCACTGATTGCTTCACAGCACAGGGCCCCTAATCTGCTTGCTCCATTTCCAATAATGCTAAGATGCAGCAGTGTATTCACTCTTCCCCAGCACACACAGAATACTCTCCAAGATTTATCATATCCTGGGTCATGAAACATATCTTAATAAATTAAAAAATACTAAAATAATGCAAAGTATGTTTTCCAAGTACAACAGAAGTAACTCACAAATCAACAATGGGAGGAAATATGGGAAATTCACATTTGGAAAAACTCACTTCTAAATAACTCATGGATCAAATAAGAAACCATGAGGAAATCTGAACTACATGAAAATGGAAATGCAACATACCAAAATGTAAGGGATGCAGCAAAAATAGGCTTACATGGCAATGCATACAGCGGATTCTTTACTTATGAACTCAATTGACTCCCAAGAGCTGGGTGTAACTCAAGTTGGTCAACTGAAGGCTCAGGCTCCTCTACACAGCCTTAAGAGTCTCTCTCCTGTATTCACGTAGTTCTCAGTGTCCTTAGAGAGACACTGGCCAAGGATTTCTCAATTAATGGCACTCAGGAAAATATGTTACAATATTCCTTCCATTGTTACAATGTTCCAATACTCTAAGGGTTAAATCTGTATCTGACACCATCTGAAAGCACAAGTGGTCAGCATTTGGGTCATAAATCAAGACTTTGTTATAAGTTAAAAGCAAGTTGTTTGTATGCCAGGCCAGTCATAACTCAAGGGTCCACTATATTTTCACATTTCTGTATTTTATAAATGAAGATCCCAAAATCAACAACCAAGTTTCTACAAGTATCTAGAAAATAAAGAACAACTAAACCTAAAGGAGAAGATAAGAAATAACAAAAATTAGAGTGGAAATAAATGTAATATAAAACATAAAAACTAATAATTTAGTGAGATAAGTACATTATTTGAAAATATTTTTAAAATTGGAAAAATTTTAGCTAGACTAACAATGAAAAAGAGAAGATGTATATCTTCAAATCAGAAACGAAAGGGGTACTGCTACAGAAATAAAAAGATGTGGAAATAACTTGAACAACTTTACACAAACGAATAGACAATTTAGATGCAGAAACAGACTCCTGGAAATACACAAATTACCAAAATTGAACCCAAGAGGAAATAACAAATAAGGAAATTAATAGATAATTTAAAACCTTCCTACTTAAAAAATATTCAGGCTTAGTAATTCTATTAAACATTTAAAGAAATAAAAGCAACCTCTATAGCGCTTTCCAGAAACTATAGGAAGAAGAAAGCCAGCTAATTCTGTAAGACCAGTATTACTCTGATACCAAAACCAAACACATCACGCAAAAAGAAAACTGTCAACCAATGCCCCTTATATGTACACACACAAAAATTCCCACCAATATATTAGCAAACTGAGCCCAGTACCATATAAAAGACTAGATATAACCAAGTGAGATTTACTCCAGGGAACGAAATTGTTTTAACTATCCGTGGAGACCTACTAATCCTTCTCTTTCAGAGAAGTTTTTTGATATCAACTTGTACCTTTTATGGTGCTCTTCCTCCCTTTATATTTTTATTAATGTTTATTTTTATTAGCTTTTGGCTTATCATCCCAGAGTCTCCCTCCACAAAAATAAATACTATGTGCATACATGTGTGGGTTATGTGGTTTCCTTTTCACAAAAATGCTATGTTCACTATTCCAAATCTTGCTGTTTTCTCCTGAGAATATTAGATTAACATTATGAAAACATCACTCCAAATCCTATAGGGAAGAAAGATCAGAAGTTAGATATTTCTGCTGGAAGAAAGGAGGTCAAGGAAGAGGACACTGCAGCCATCTGGGTAAGAGATGCTAACTATGGCTAGGCCTCGGACAGCGGCTATACGAATGGTGAAGAGTTGATTCATTTGGGTTTGAGATAAACTTTGGAGGCTGATATAAGAGAATGTGAAGATTGGCTATGGATGTCCACAGCACTGGCCACACTAGTATTCCCAGCAGAGATAAAATTTCCTATGGAATACAAGATTAGAATATATCTATAGTATTTCTTTTTTTAAAAAATCTTATAGACAATTTCAAACATATATAAAAGCAGAAAAGTATCCTGCGCCTCCAACATATTTGTCATGGTTTGTATCTCAGTGTCCCTCCCAAAGCCTCAGGTGACCACGGGCAGAGATTCTGCAAGGTGACTGGATTGTGGAGACATCATACTTATTGGTGAATTAGTCCATTGACGAATTTATAGCTACATGCGCTGTTAAGAGGTGGGGTTTGGTAGGAAGAAGTGAGGGCAGGGATCTAAAAAGGTAAATAAATCTCCCTCCCCGGCTAGTCCTTCCCCCTCCAGTTTCTGTTTACCATGATGTGATATCATTTATCTCATTCCAGAGTTAGGAAAAATCAATCCCATTTAGAAAGGCTATGAATACCGTTCTAGAATTCAGTAGTCTTTATGCTTCTACAGTCAGTTGATCAGGCCCCCAGGGATGAGGGGGTAGGGAGGGAGACAGCACTATAGTGGAAAAAGTGGTTTTAATTTTAACTTTTATTTTGTACTAACCATTTTCCCACACTGTTCTGTAAATCACAATGAGGAATGAGAACAAAGCAATAAAAGTAAAATATATTCAAATAAAGCATACAGGGCAGCATAGTAGTAGATG